ATAATAATCATGCATGAATTAATCCTGTGATTAGAGGAACAATTATGATTAAATTGTTAAATCAAATCATGTATGATGATCATAGATGATCATACTGTACAAATTGATTCAAACATGGGATGATAATTAATCATCGCCCATCATCCAAGAAAAATATCATAGTTTTTTAACTAATTGTACAAGATAATCTCTCATCTTCATACTGTACGTGCTGATCTCTACATGGGATGATAATTAATCATTTACTATCGTAACAGATAATGAGTATAAAATTTTTGAACTGATAGTACAAGATAATTTTGGTCGTACTTTTTAGAAGTCCTATTTTGTAAAAATCATATAGGATGATCTCACGATCTTAGAGAGAGAGTTCAGGAGTTCTTTGGAAGAGAAGAAAGGGAGAGTTCTTATGAAGGGGAGTTGTGAGATCTTCACAAGATTATTCCAAGCCAAGTTCCTTCCAATCTTCTTCAAGTCCCTGCTTTGATTCTTGGGTGGGACCGAGTGAGCTTCTTTAGTACAAGATCGTTGTTCTCTGCCAACTGCAGGAGGGAGTAAAAGGATCCATGGTTCTCTGCCATCACTTGGAGGGTAAAAAGATTTAAGGTTTATTGCCTTCATTAGGAGGGTGTAAAAGCTTTTGGATCTCTACCATGTCGAGAAGGTGAAAGTGATTTTTTAAGGGCTTCTCTACATAGCTGTGGAGACTAAAGAAGAAACACTAAAACGTTTAGTGCAATACCTAGAGCAAAGGCTTGTGGGGAGTGGACGTACGTCAAATTTGACCGAACTACTATAAAATTTGGTGTGTTCATTCTTTTAACGTTTCAGCATTTTAATTTTCACACTTATTTGTGATTTATTGTGTGGTTGAGAACTTTAATTTGGTTTAATATTATGAATTACTTTGCTTCTGCATCTACTAATTAAAATAGTTTTTTTTTCAAATATTAAAAAGGTTATAAAAAGATTTTTTTTATTAAAGAATTTTAAATTACTAATTCACCCCCTCTTGGTTAGCCTCAGGTTAGTTCTTAGAGGTTTAAAAACCTTCATGAACTTTCACCCTAGACTGCTGGGAGTCTGCATAATCATATTAAATACTTCTCCTCCTTATTAGGGACCTCCCCGCCTACGAGTTTTGATAGACAACCTGGTCTTTTTGGGTGCAGATCTGTCAAAGGGATATTGTGCAATCTTTATGAAAAAAATATTTTTTAATCCTTTTTAAAATTTCTTCATACTCATTCTATGTATTTAATTGAGTCGATCAACATGCATTATATTAAAAACAAAATTTAAAGAGTATAAATTATTATAATATTTTATTCAAGCATTTTCACACTACATAAGTTAAGAGATCAATTAGGATCCTCTCTAGATATTAGTCCTAATTCTCAAAAACTCTAATTAAAATTGTCCCTACCACTATTTCATAAAGACAAGATTTATGGATTTTAAATTAACTAGGTGGTTGATTGGATTTTAATTTAGGTAGGGGTAAGTACAGGTTTTACACTACATTAGTTAGGTTCAGACCACTATGGTTCTATGCCCAATTTAGATTAGGATTCAAGACATTCTAAATTATAAGGCTCCAACCTCCTTGAATCTAATTACAAAATTTTTAATAAATTATTCAACTCAAATTAAAGATGATCTCAATCCAATACTTAAAACTCAACACTTAGATTAGGTCAGAGCATTTATGAATGGTTTCAAAATCTCCAAGTGTCTCCTACCCCTCCTCCATTGACTCTAGAAATAAGTATTCTAACTTGATTCATTCTAAGTTCTAATTCTAGATTCACCTACTTTAATATCCAATCCTTGAAATTTCTAAATAAAATTTATTTTATTACTACAATTAAGAGTATCATACGGAATTCAACCTCCCTATGATGTAATTAACTATGAGGGCTTATGCTAGTAAGAGATTTACCTAAATTAACTTTTCCAAAAATTGAGTTTCAAAACTCAATTAGTCTTCTTCAGGAAAATTAAATCAACAATGATCATTATCATTATATATGGATAATTGATAACATGTAATATTTTCTTCCTTAGGATGATATATCCTTTGTTATCATAGTCCTGAATATGAAATTAATTATCTCCCATCCAGACTATTATAGTTTTTTTTTTAAGAAATTCTAAATGCATTAATGAAAAAGAAAAGCTATTACAAACTACTAAGTGATAGAGAAACTATCACATTCCTCCTTAAGTAATTTGAAAAACAATGGAGGAACCTTATTGCTACTAAGATCTTCCCAAAGAAATTCACCATTTAATGCAAAGTTAGCAAGAAAATGGGCTAACTTATTACAATTCCTATTAACAAAATGGAAAAGAATGTTACCAAAACCATCCAAGAATGAGAGATCTTTTAGTTCTTCATTTTGTACAATCTGGCTCCTTGTATCCACAGATTTTTGTGGATGATTAATGATGTTAATATTTTCCCCTTCAATAATAATCCCCTTTGCATCCAACATCCATTCAAAGATGAATTTCCTCAATGAATGAAAAGCAATCAGCTCCAACGAACCACTATCCCAATGAGTGCAATTGATTCCAAAGGAAAGTAAGAATTTACCCTTTGAATCTCTAAAAACTCCACCAATCCCACCATTATTGGATCTTGTTAAAGCAGCATCAAGATTAACCTTAATCCATTCTGGGGGAGGGGGTGCCAATGAGAAAATAGCCTCACCGGCTGGTTAGCGCCCCAGTGATCCATGAACAGATTATTATTAGAAATTGTTGCATAACTAATAGCATTGGCTGCTATATAGTTCAAACTCAACTCTTGCTTTCCATATTTAATCAAATTTCTACTTTCCATGAAAAATATACTAGAGAGCAATATAAATTTGCAATGAGTTTAATGTTCACAGCTAACCGTCCCAATTGAAATTTACAATCACTGGAAGAGGAGAAGATAGGAACCGGGAATCCCCACTCCTTAAGAACGTCTATAGCTTGATGCAGCTTTAAGCAGTGAACCATAACATGCTCAGATTTTTCTGATTCATTACAGCCTCTAGGATATAAACAATGACCCAGTAATCTTCGATACATCAGAAATCCATTTGTAGGGATTACATCATTGAATGGCCGCCACCAAAAACATTCAACTCTAGGATTAAGTTGAAGTTTTTTTAGCCAATTCCAATACTCCACTGACATGTTTCCCACATCATAAGAAGCTGTTATGCTATTACCCGAGATTTTATGTCTCAATTCCAAGCTATCCTTATTTTGATAAGGAAAAATATCAATTTGAATAATACGTTCCATAAGAGCCTCCCCAAAGAATATATTTAGAAGATCCTTCTTCCAAATAACATCTACTATAAAGCTCTCCAGAGAAGGAAAATCAAAATTCCCTACTGCAATAAAGTAGGCCATCTCTCTAGACAACTATCTAGAATCCACACATCTTTAAGAATGTCTATAGATTTATTTATGCAATCTTCCACTTAGTGATCGGAAGAAGAGAATGAGCTCCATTAGCAGTGATCTTCTAAGTAGTAGACTTATTGCCTTTGCTAGTTTCTTTCCAAAATTTAGTACCATACTTTGCCAACAAAGCCTTATTAAGCAAAGAATCTTCTTCCTTTAAGAAATTCCATGCAAATTTAGCTCTAAGGGTTCCTATTATAGACACCAACGAATGTATACCTTGTACCCCATCCTTCCAGGTTTTGCACATGTTCTCCCAAGACATATAGTTTAAGTCATGAAGATTTCCTTGTCTATCCCAAATAAAACTCATAGCAATTTTATCCAATTCTTTAAGAGTACTCATTGGAACCAATGAGTGAGTAGCGGTAATGAAGACAAAACCGTTTTAACTAGTACAATTCTCCCAGTTAAAGAAATCGTCTGATTGCCCCAAACATTAAGTTTAGAAGCAGCCTTCTCAAGGATATAATTGAAGTCTGAAGCAACCAATCTCCTCAATTCCAACTTAATGCCAAGATAAGACACTTCATTCACAGTTTTGAAGCCCCATAGCTTTAATATAGCTTTCTTCCTCTTCCTTTTAACAGATTTCCCAAACAAAATTACGGATTTCTCTTCATTAATGGATTGCCCAGTTCGACTGCAAAAAGATGAAACAATTCTTCTTAATCTCCTCATACAGCTCTTTCTAGCTTGGGAGAATAATAAGATATCATCTGCATACAAAAGATGTGATACTCCAGGGGCATTTGTAGAAATTTTTATCCCCAAATTCCTTCCTCTATGCCATATATCATTAGTCAAGATTTGAGAGCAAAGAATAAATAAATAGGGAGAAAGAGGACAACCTTGTCTAAACCCACTATTTTCTTTAAGCCCCTTTGAAAATTTACCATTAATCATGATAAAAATTTTGGAAACTCCACACATTCCATAATTAGATTAAAAAATCTGATTGGAAATCCCATTTTATTCAATACCAATATCAAGGTATCCCAAGCCATACTATCATAGGCTTGTTCCATATCAAGTTTGATAGCCACCCATCATTTCTTAGATTTAGAAAATCTGAGCTTATTAAAAAGTTCAGGAGCTAAAAGAATATGATTATATAGGGATCTACCTCTTAAAAAAGTTGTTTGCACCTCAGAAATAAGTCCACCAACAACCTTCAACAACCTATTTAATAGCATTTTGGAAATAATCTTATACAGGGTGCCACAAATGCTGATAGGACAGAAACCTAAGGGAGAAATGGATTCAACAACTTGGGAATGAGAACCATCACCGACTCTTTCCATTTACAATAGAGTTGCCATATTACCAAGAACTGTTGTACAGCCCACCAAACATCATCCCTGTTATATACCAATAGTTTTTGAAAAATGAGTATGTAATACCATCTAGATCGGGGGAGATGTTTGTCCAACTATCTTTAATAATAGAATCCAGTTCCGAATAAGAAAACTCATTTCCTAATAGTTTACAATCCGGTCAAGAGAGAGTCTTCAGTACAGGAGGCCAACCATTTAAGTTACAACATCTACTCTTCCATTTATTGCTAAGAAATTCATCAGGATTTCTTCAATTTCAGCATTCTCTTCTACCAAAATTCCATCTTCATCCTTCAATTGACGAATAGAGTTTCCCAATCTTCTTCCATTAGCAAAATAATGGAAAAATTTAGAATTCATATCATTCTCCTGGATCCACTTTAACTTTGATCTTTGTCTCCACCATGTGCTTAAACGAGCCAAATTCAGATTGAATTCCTGAATTTTAGCTCTCAACAGTAATAGCTTTTCCTCGTTAAGACCATGCCCAAAGGATTCTTCCAGCTGCAGATTTACAATCTCCTTATTTAATACATCTTTGATTTCCATAAAATTCTTCATTTTTGCTTTGCTCCAATAATGAAGAGCTCTCAAAGTCCTTTTACACTTAACATTTATGACATTCATTGCATCCCCATTAACAGGTTTGTTCCAAGTCTTTAGAACGATAGATTTTGACGCCAGGAAAGAAGCCCAAACATCTTCATACTTAAGAAATTTTTTTGGTGCAATTTATCATTGAAAATTTTGAGAATTAAGGGACAATGGTCAAAAGCAATCCTAGCCAAATGTCTTATCACAACAGTTTGAACTTCAATCAATGCCTTAGTGTTTAAAAGACACCTATCTAGCCTTTCAAGTATACGAGCATTCCCACTTTTGTTGTTGCACCAGGTAAACTTCGGTCCTACCATCCCAACATCAAGTAGATCATTTCTAGACATAAAGGCAGACATTTCTTGCATGCCTTGAGAAAATGAGAACTTCTTTCCACCCCTCTTTTCTTCTTGTGAAAGTACACAATTGAAATCCCCTCCCACAACCAAAGGGATCTCTTTGTCACAGTATACTTCTAATTTTTCCCTCAACTTCCTCCTTATATGTGGATTCTTGTTGCCATAAACTGTAGACACAATCCACTTACCTTTATTAAAAATACTAAACTCCCCAATTACACATTGAGGAGAAGCATCTAGTAAAGAAAATTTTGCCATATTAGCTCTCCATAATACAATAATTCCTCCAGAAGAACCATCTGAGGGATATAGGAAATAATCCCATTCATCACTCAACAACTTGTTAACTTCATATCTCTCAAAAAAAGAGATCTTTGTTTCAACCACCCCAACAAAAAATAAATCCCAATCTTTCACAAATTATTTTAAGTATAGGGAGGTTTCCCTATTATTAGCCCCCCTACAATTCCAAAAAGCTAAAGAAGTCATTTGGATATAGGAGGGAAGGATCCCCACTTTTACCTTTAATATTTACCTTAGCTTTTTTTGATCTGGAATAATTGCTCAAAGGCCCCAAGTATTTAAGCTCTTTCAGTAGCTTTGGTTTTTGAGATCCAAGAATAGATTTTCCCAAGCCCGAACTATCAAATTCTTTTGCAATACCACCACTAATGAATTCCTTGATTACATGAATCACCTTTCTTCCTTGATGATAACATCAGTCTTGCAAATTTCTCCATCTTCTAGCTCCTGTTCATTCTGTATACTCACTGCATCTTTTCTGATAGATTTGTCTTCTTCATCTACTTGCTCCAGCATATTAAACATATTCTCTTGAACAATAGATACCTCAGGAATAGAGGTAGAAACCTTTACAGCTGCTGTCTCTACAATAAAAGAATCTTCACCAACTTCTATTACATTATTCTTTAATGTAGCAACTTCCATACCGTCTTCAAACATTTGTACACCTGATACAGGCACAGGTAATTGATCTTCCAGAGATTTAATAGCCTCTTTATTCTCTATAGCCTTCTTCTGATAAGTAGCCATCAACCTTCTATTTCTTCCAGAGATTCTTCCCTGAGAGCATTTACTACTCCTACATTTCCTTCTTTGGATACTGGGCTAGAACAGACATTGTTTGAGCCTACTTTCTCATTACACATATTGCTTAGATGACAATTTTTTTCACAATTATAACAAAACGTTGAGATCTTTTCATACTCAACCTTTTGAAAGAACCAACCTTCAAGTCTATCCACCCAAACACCCATAGGCAATTGTTTATCAAGCTCCAATCAAACACATACTCTTGAAAATTCTCTCCTTCCCCATTGGAACATATCACCATTAATTAGCCTAGGAGACCCTATTAATGAATCAATCCTTGCAACATTAATTTCATCCCAACAAAAATAGTGGAAGATTAGTCAATCTTACCCACACCTGAGATGTTAATCCCTTAAGGAAAGTTGTTGAAAATTTAGGACTCCACTTGTCTAGTCCAATAATATGACCATTTACAAACCATGGTCCTCCTGAAATAACTTTCTCCATAGACTCTTATGAAAAAAGGAGCACAGCATCCACCCTGAGCCAAGGATTGTTAGATGGAACTTCCCGAATTGAGACCATTGACGTCTCAATTTCGCAGCTATAGTTTGTACTGAAATTGTTCTACCAAAAACTTTAACCATAATGGATTTTTGAAGCTTCTAAGAATCTCTATCATCTTTGGTTGAAATTATTTGATAGCCTTGCCATCATCTGATAAGAAAGAATCTCCCATTGACATATCCATCGTGATATGAGAACGTTTAATCCAAGGATTCCGAACATTCTTAACAGGAGCTGATGTCAGCCCTTCATTCTCCGATTGAACATTCTTCCGAACATCTGAAGTGCTTCCTCCCCTCCTCTGGACTGAAGGGTCTCCCTTAGCTAAATTCCCATTAATTCCAAATCGGTTCACAAAGATCTTCATACCAGAAGATGAAGATTCAAAATCAATTGACTTAACATTCAAATTTGATGAAGGAGTTTCCACATTTGAATCCTGAACAATTTGTTTCCCCTTACCGACATCTGGTGAAGGATTTTTCTGACATTCTGCGCAGTTTTCTCTGATAATAAATGGACCGTTGAAAGTTCTTCGATAGGTTCCCATCTCTGAATCAGAATCTTTATGATTCAATAGCGATCTATCATTATTCAGGGTTACCGACGCCCAGCCATATGAATTGGCTGTTGACTGGACAATCATCACCTCCGATGTTGCCGCCAATGCAACAGAAATCCAGACTAGTATAGTTAGATGCTTCATAGAATGTCATATTAACCCTTCCGGCTGCATGTCTTCCTTCCTTGGATTTGACTATTATAATATGGATGAAATATCCAGTTCCATTATCTGAACCCATGAAGGAATGATATCTTCACCTCCCGAGGTGATATATCATTCATAGTGACATGTTCAATTTTGAGATTGAAGTCCTGAATTAAAATTCCTAAATAAAACTAATCTTTTCAAAAACCACTTTTTGTCCCAACAATAATGACACGCCCGGTGGGACGGATATCTCTCTCCACCCTTAATAATGATGAAATTTTATTTCATCAGTAGTCTTAACTACCTTTATTTCTATTGGCATCTTTACCCATTTCTTCCTTAGGTGAGCTTAGCCAAAATAAAAAATTCATATAAAAAAGGGAGGTGAAACCTCTGTCCAAAACGTATACATTGACCTTATGAAACTAGATCAACTGGAGGTGGTGATAATGTCAAGTCAATCTTTTAAAACCTCCAAGTCAATTTTATAAACCTGCATTATTGGATCTAACTCAATATGTTGAGTTGTAAAATTAGAAGAACTCATGTTGATCTTGTCTCCAAGATCCTTAATTTTTTAAACTCCTAGCTTGACATTTCACCTCCAAATCAATTAATGGTGTGGAAGTGTCAGATAAACTCCTTTAAATCATAATCACTCCTTGTATTCTACCATCATATATTGGGTTGTGAGTTTTACAACTTGAGAGATTTAATAAAATATAGAGTTCATTATGATTTTTAAAATTTAATTTCAATAATATCTAATTCCAATTCTTCTTTCAAATTCTATAAACCAAACCAATTCAATGGCTGGCAAGCTAATTTTCACCTTTGAGAAGGGTCTAACTTGTGAGGGGATTGAATTCATAAAAATAATTCATTTTGGTCAGGGATTTCGAACCATTGAGCCGTCATTGAATGGAGGGAAACTGGTTAATTTCAAAGCTACTCGGTTATACTCTAGTGTGTTGATGTTGGTTCATGGGGTTAGGGACTAAATCCCTCAATCCCAATGTTAAGGAGATAAAACCAGAAGCTCATGTTGAAACTGCTGAAGTAAAGTCTATTTTTGTGGAGGGATTGAGTTTTTGGATCCCATTCACAAGTAAGAATAAGAGAAATAACTATTTGAGGAGTGTTAGGAAGAAGATTACAAAAGCAAGAAATGTTGTCGAGGTTAAGACTGTGGGCCAAGTAAAGTCAAAGGCTGATGAGGAGCTGCATATCCCTACATCCTCTCCACTCCTTAAAGAGAATCATTTCCACCCCTTAGATATTGCTACAAGGGAGGAAAGGGTGACTAAGATAGCTAGTTCCCCACCATATCAGAAAGACTACTCAAATAAGAGGACTCTAAAGAAAAAATGACTACAGAGAACCAAGATTTTGAGGAACATAATCCACACATGCGCTGCCTAAGCAAGTGAAACTAAGGAGCAGTATATGAGAAATCTGAAGGGGATGATCTCACATAAATTTGAGAAGGAAATTCTTAAGGAAGAAAAATCTGAAGCAAGAAATATAACTCCTTAGACTGCGAGGAAAATAAAAAGTTTGCAAGATAGCCGATTGCTTTTATGTTAGTAAATAGTTACCATTGGGTGTCATACCCTTCATCCTCTAAAATGGAGGGTATTGTACTTATTGAACCTGTATATGGCCGCCATTCTACTAATAGGCTGCCGGTCCTTTCGCCAAAATTTGCAAAGCTATCCTTAGTTGTGGTCAAAACCAAGGAGGAGGTTTTTGAAATTCAAAGGATGGCCGAAGATAAGGGAAAAAGGCCCATGTCCCAAAAAACGTCCCTAAGAAGATTAGCAGGGTTGATGTTCTACCACCCTCAGCTAAGTCACCTCAGTCTTTAGTCAAGCTACCTAGATTCCAATTAGTACTATCCCAGTCCTAACTAGTTCAGAGGATGCACTGGTTGATGTTCTAGTTGTTAATTCAGTTGATATTCTAGTGGTCAATTCAGTTGATATTTTGATTGTTGATTCAGGTGATACTTTAGTTGATGTCTCCGGCAATTTCTCCTAAATTCCACTTGTTATCTATGAACTCCCTACCCAAGGATCTAAGTACTTTACCTTGCCTGATGTAGGAGCTATCACCCTCCAAGCCCCTGCATCATCTTCTATGGTAGATGTCCCTCACCTTATGGAAGATTCCACCCATCTGACTTTAAACCTGGTTGAATGGGAGGGGATACTTCAAGATGAAAACTAGCAAATGATAGAGGAGTTAATGGCATAGCTCGTGATGGATGATGATCTCAAATTACAAGCTGTCTTTTCTAAATTAAAAGATAAGGAATTCTATGACATGATTGACTACAATGGTTACTTACCAATCAGCCTTAAAGAAATAGGGGATTAGCCGGTTGATGAGGTAGTGCATGAGATTAAGGATAACTTAAGAAAGAAAGAAGCTACAAAAGCTTTCGACCCAGTGTCTGATGAATTACTAATGGTAGAGGATGTAGTCACTGGTATTGTTTGCATGGTTGAGACCAGAGCTTCAGTTAATGAAAGAAAAACTAGAAGACCCCATTCTAGAAGAGATGAAACTTCAACGATAGCAGATTCAAACTTGAATGGTTTAGTGAGAATAAGAGGGGATGATCAGTATATCAAGAAATTGGAAGCTCAAGTTATTGATATGTTGTCACAAGTAAGAGAAATTCAAGAAAGGCTAGCTAAGACATAGGAGCCTTTATTTTAGCAATAGTAACCCATAGTCCAAGCGGTGACTATTTGGAGTAATAAGTTAGAGTCCTGTTCAAAGCTCTTGAGTTAGTACCAGTAGTCCTTGCTTGCCTACCAGTAGTTCTTCCAACCCAACCGATAGTCTCCTCAGTTCCCCAAGTCCAACCAACAATCCTTTCAACCCCTCTGGTATCGGTTCAAAAAAATTATCAAACATG